TCGATGTATTGTTTCCATTGACTCCTATAAAATGTTATGACATTTTTAGCTCAAAATGATTTCCCTCCTGAACTGAATTTACCTTTTTACTGGGCTCAGTGTGTCCCGGCGAAATTGAGTTTTATGTTGAAATGTCTTTTTATTGTGAAAGTTGTAAATGGCAGCAATATTTCTCGTGTGCTAAATTGAGGCTTTGTATGAGGAATATTGTTGCAGGGATGTGCATCCTAGAGGTTTCAGCACTGAATGAGCTCAGTGAAGCAGATCGTGTTGTATGCAAGTGTGTGGCATAAGGATAATGTCCTACTTTCCAATACAGACTGCTGAGAACTTCCCTGGAGTTTTGGTTGTCTGGCCCTTGCAGAAATACTGCACTGCAACAGGACGTGCATTTATTGGCGTTCAAAAGATCTGATTTGAACTGATTCAGATGATGGTTCAATAATATAAAATCAGATTCCTAGGAAAGATCAGTAAACTGCTTTATTCTGTCACTGCCGGATTAATCATCACATTGTGTCAGTAATAGTCAGTGGACTTGGCAGCAGTGTCTTGGCTTGTATCTTATGGAGGCTGACGACACTTCTTTTCTGATGGTAACCCTCTCTGGATGCAATTGTGCTGCCTCAATTTATCTTGAAGCATTTCCACCTAATGGAAGGCTGCTGTTAGCACCCACCACCTAAGCTAAAACGGGTTGGCTTGAAGCAATGGTGTGGTAGTTTCTGCCGCTTGTCTAGGTAGGTTTTTGGGCATTGAGCGCAGCAAAGGCAGTGTTTTACTGGCTGCGATTGGCTGTGACTTGGGAACAAATTGGCATTGCTGGCCAAGCGAGACATTCCCTGGAGATTGGAGGAAACTTTGGGGAGAAAGAAGTTGCAGATTGTGTGATATATGAAGTGTACGTACGCAAATTTGCTGCCTTGGGGTCTGCATTGCATGGTACAACCTGGGATGATGCCAGGCGCCAGCAGCATCTGGCTGCTTGAGAACAAATTCAGTTTGATGTGGTTGTCAGGTAGTTTGCAAGCTAAATGCGGCATGAAATGTTCTTTCACAGTGAATTTGAACACTTCATTCTATTTTACAAACTAGTAATGAAAGTTGAGCCCATAACGTTTCAAAATTGGCACCTTCCATTCTCTTGTGTTGCTCGTAGTTAAATCCATTAATATATTCAAACAATTGCCCTTTACAGCCAAACCAAGATTCATCTCTTCTATACAATTGATATAATTTATTTGAGCATTTAAAAGTTGTGTTTTTTTTTTAAAAAGTGTCCTGTTTCCTTTAGGAGGATGTTGGATGTGTAATAATAAATTGTTAGCTCAATCCACGACTGCTTGTGGGACATTGCTGTGATAAAGTAACCAAAGTAAGAGAGCTATTCCTAATTAACTGGAGTGACTCGTTGCCACATTGTACTTGCGCAGTCCAGTGTGAGAAGCTACGAAAAGTGGAGTCCTGTTGCGTAATGGCGTTGTTGCTGGCTGCTTGACTGGAGGGTCTGTAGTTCTGTGGCAGTTGGATGCCAACAAGTTCAGCTGTCTCTGTGCTCTTCATTCGCTTCTTTGTGCTCCAATGCACAGTTGGCTTTGCTCCAGTCTAAGTGCGAGGTAACGGCTATACAACTGGTGTGGTAAAGTCAAACTTTGCAGGACGAGCTGTGACTGAACTAAGCTGATATCTCAAGTCAGTTGACACCTCGCGGTTGCTAACGCTCCACCCTCTCGGGCCAACTGATGTTCTGTCAGATTGCTGGTTAGACAGCACTGCTTGAAAGGGTCTTAATGTCTTGACATCTTACATAAACAAGATGGAAGGCATTCACCTTCCTTGATTCCCTCAACCTCCCTGGCCTCTCTCAATCTCAGCGAATCCTGTACACACCTTAGCATATAGTTTGATCTTCAAGTCCCTTTGCTTCCTCACATTTGATCTCTGATCAAAACTATTTCTTCACCTTTGTCATGCCTCCGCCTGTATCTTGCATGAAACCAAAGAAGTGACGTCCTGACACTGAGCAGCTAGTACCACCCACAGATAATCTAGATGGGCCATCTTCTTAACCACATTATTCAGGCATTAACAAAGCTTTGGCAACATTTTGTGAGTAGTTTAGCAGAATCTAAGGGAGTTGATATTTGGTCTCTCCTTTGGATTGAGGAGACTGCATCCTCTGAGATAATCTTCACCTTGTCCATGTGGTAAATGAACTTAAGGAACCAATGTACTAATATTGGCACCTTGGCCCAGTTTTATACACAAAAGTCATGAGGCTGGTAGAATCTTCAAGCATGACGTGTGTTTACTTGATTTAAACATTTTAGTGTGCTTGTTTTGTTAGTATCCTGAACTGCTCAAGGCTATGTTCTTCAAGTGTTACATTAGCAAGCGTTGTTAAGGATTAACTAGCACTTCATTGCATTCATATTTCAATTGATGACAGTATTTCTAAAGGACTTTTTTTCTATTAACGGCATTTTGTCGATTGTATTAATTTCAATTCAGCAACAGCTTGTCAGTTGGTGGTTAACACTGTTGGCCAAAATGTCTAATCTTTTTCCTTCCTTAACTGGTGAAAATAGTTACAGTCTACAAAAAACAGGCACTACAGTACTGTGTAACCCTTGCATAAGATGTATTGAATGGTGTTTGTAGTGGGGAAAAGTAATTGAAGTGATAGAATTGAGTATTGTCACAGAAAGCATTTAGTGACTTAATTATATTTTTCCTTAAAATTCATGAATATAAACATGCTAAATAACCCTCATGACAATAGGTTTCACTGTCCACATCTTATCTTAAACATTGACCTGTATATTTGGATGTTTTGGACATCGTACCTTGAGGAATTGTTGAGCCATTGCTTAGGCAACTGAAAGGGACTGATTTTGGAACCTAAAATCTTTGAACTGGAGATCTGAACTGGAGAAAATATTGAGAGCAGAGCTAAGCAGGTTTTTAGAAAGTTGAGATCAGTGGATGGTGTAGATGCAGATAATTTAATTTGACCTAGAAGTGAAGCATGGAGGTATAAAATTAATGAGCCTTGAGCTAGATTTGAGATTACAGTGAACATTGGGTACGTGGCATATTCTTCTAGCAAAAGCAGTTGTGGATAGTTACCTCAAATTGGTTGATAAATATCTAACTCCAAATGGGATTGAGGGTTATAAAGGATAAATACAAATTGATTGAATGATGTGGATAAGGTAATGGATTCTGAGCTGCTGAAATCATGGACATGTTGTGGAAGGTAACCATTCAAGGGTAAATAATGAATGATCTAAGGCGAGCTATTCTGGAGATGTTGCTTCACGTACAGATATGGGGAGAAGAGAACTTTGAAACATTTCCTCCAATTTTAAATGAGCTGGTCAAGCCTATGGTTAAGTAGATCGTAGTCTGAAAGGAACTGGCTTGATCAAGCTAATAAGTATTTCTTCCAGGTTTCTGTTCAGTGTTTGTCATGGCAGCTGAAAGATGGACTCATAATTGTAATGTCTGTGGTTCTAAGAAGCAGTAAAACGAGTGCCAATCTGTCAGTGGTCCCTTTGTGGAGCTTGGGTTCATCGTTTGGATGGTACCTGGATAATTATAAAGGCTTCTCTCGACATACGCATATCAACATTGTTAAAATGAACTGATGTCTAACCAATCTTACGACCTCAACTGGGAACTGCAAACAGCTGGTGGCAAATCTTTAATATTAACCCATCAGGAGATCTGATCCAACAGGACAAGCAGATGCTCAATTAGAGTGTAGTTAGTGCTTGACCTTTTTGTACACGTTACTGAAATGCTACACCGTACCTCCTAAGACCTTTTTGCTCTCCAGTGTTCAAATCAAGCATGTTTGTTCGTCTGTGTTCAGTCTGAATCAAATGCTGTGCTCTGCATTTTAGCATGCATAACCAGGGAGAGTAGTTAGAGATCCATTTATGTTGGACAGTAGGTTTCTTTCTCTCTTTTCCCCCCCACCCCCCACTGATGTCCATGTTGTTGGTTCATGTGAGACGATTTTTTAAAAAATTAAATAGATTTAAGGGAAGCTCAATAAGACTTGTCACTTTCCATTTGCTTTGATTGAAGATATGTGGGATTGTCACAGCAGGAATATATCCATATGCATTTTTACTAGTGGCTGAACATCTGAATTATGAGTTCAAATGGGTTCAGCCTTTGTGAAATCACTCACAGCTGATCATTTATTTTTTTCTATGAGACAAACAGCTGCTTCCTGTAGCTGGCCTTCAGATCAGCTTCTTCAGAGCATTCTTTGTGGTGTGGTATATTTAACACTATAATACTTAGTTCATGAATCTCTTAATGAAGGTCTCCACAACGTAATAAAGTGCTGCATCAAATGCAAGGATTATTATTTACAAAGGGGATACATTTAATGAACTTTGATTTCGGATGAGGTTTTAAGCATTGGATCAAAATATATTATTTTCCCATATTATGAATCAGAAGGTTGTAGGTTCAAGTACCAAAATGGGACTTTGAACTTGGCTGGCACTGTGGTGGAGTGCGAGGGGAGCACCACATTGTGGGAGATGCTGTTCTTTGAATGAGATGTTAAACTGAGGTCTTATCTGCCTGTTCAAGTTCATATTAAAGATCCACAGCATTAGTCCAAAAAGAAGGGAGTTTCTCCTCTTCTGATCAATGATCCCTGTGTTGGCTGCTGATTTTGACTACAAATGCAGTCACTACATTTCATAAAGTATTGTGAAGCTCTTTGAGACATGTTGACAAATTGTTCATTCAGTTCGTGGCTGTTTGTGTGACAAATTGACTGTTGCTCTCACTTACAAAATACATGGTCACTACACTTCAAGTAAATCCTTTGATGCGCTTTGAGAAATCCTCCTGACGTGAAAGGCGCTATATTAAATGTACTGATTGTTATTATAACAGCCTGACTGTTTAAAATCTGACTGGTTCAGGCACTTGACAACTTAAGTAAAATTTTATTTCCACTCTTTTTACAGGTGGATGATGAAATCTCTTCTGGCTGCAACCATGTAAGTAATTAAGTCTTTTCACTATGACACTGCTGGTACTTGTGCATATGTGTGAACTAAGTGCTTGTTGTTATTGTTGTGTTTGTGCTTCGTTGGAAAGTTCTTAGATGTTGGTGTCCAAACCTGATGCTGCTCTGACTGAGTGGAATTGCAAGCTGTAGAAATATTAAGTTTTTTTAGAGAGGAATATAATGCAGAATACCTACAGAGCACATGTATTCCAAAATAAATCCCATTAAATCAACATGCTAACTGCCCTGATTACACAGCACATGTTGGTAAGACAGCCTAGTCGGTTGGCAGGAAGGCAATCCTCAGGAAAAATTTCATGCAAAAATTGTCGTGAATTTTTGGTCGGAAGCAAAAGGAGAGCAAGTCTGTGCTAACCAGTAACATTTTAAAAGCGTAAGAGTAGAGAGACTTGGGGATTAAAGTACATTCATCTTTAAAGATGAGATGTTCTTGGAGAGCAGTTAAGAGTATTGTATTCAGTTTTCTCACCCCACTTTAGGAAGCTTGGAGATTTACTCGGTTGAATCCAGGGATGAATGATTTGACCTATGAACTGGGACTATTTACACTGGAGTGCGAAAGGTTGAGTGCAGGCCCAATAGAGGTCTTTTAAATTGAGGGATTTGAGTCAATGGGGGAAAATTATTTCCACTGGTTGGCGAGTCAGTAACTAAAAGGCATCACTTTAAGATAGTTAACCACTCAAAAGGGGAGATTCAGTAGAATTGTTTTTAATGTGAGTTGGTAGCATGTGGAATGCCCTGCCACTTGCGGTGGTCAGACCAGAGTCCATATTATTTTTTAGTAGGGAACTAGATCAATATCTAGAAAGGAGCAATTTGCAGGAGTACATGGAAAGAGTCGGGAAAAATGGAACAGCATGGCTTGCTTTTTCAAAGAGCTAACATTTGCCCCCCCCCATTCTCTGCCATAAATATCTGGTGCTGAGAGGAGAAAGGTATTATCATGATTTTTCTTTTAAGAAACTGTAGGCTAAAGGCAGTGTTGGGTACAGCACTAAACCACCATGGTTTTATGGAGTTGGGGAAAGGAACAATTGAGTTAGACATAGCCGTGCTTGCTTGAGTTTAAAATTCTGTTGATTCTTGAAGGAAGGGAACACAAAGGTGGTAAGGAGTACATGTTTGAGGTCCTGGGTAAGATCAAGTTTGAATACAGATAGGCCACTCAGTCTTGATTTTAACTGTCAGCATACAGTGTGTAAAGGGGCAACTTGGTAGTTCAGAGAAATGTTGAGTGTAGTTGTATTAAGATGAAGAAAAACTAGAGAGGTTGGAGGTGACGAAGGGTTTTTTAATCAAACGATGTACGTTTATATTTTGCTCAGAAAACAATTACACAGTGGGGCCAAAAATGCATAGGAATGAGGGTTCCCTTGTTGTGAAACTGATCCATATATTCCTTTACTGTGGGAAACGAATAGTATGTCCCAGGGCCTTTGGACGTCCTCCTGACATAAAAAGCGCTATACAAATGTAATTTGTTGTTGAAACAAGATCCATAATCTCTCAAATACCATTTTGCTCTTTCTGAGAACAATGTACTATTCTTTGTCTCTCTGTCTATTCTCCACTCAACTAGCCAACATATTGCTTGTGCTGTGATATGAGGTACACCTTGCTCTGATCCCTACCATATTTCTCTTGCCCAAGCTTTGATACACTAACTGGTATTAGTTTGCGCTTCCTAGGATTACATGTTCCTTCCCTCGTTTGAGAGCTGAGGTGAGTTACTCCAAGTAGCACCAGTTGGTTTCAGCACCACGGATTAGAGAAGAAAAATTGTCAGCCAGGTTTTCCACTCTAACTTTCTGATGAATATACTTGTGGTCGTCATTGGGAGAAGACAGGATTGGGCTTGGCTGTGATTTTTTTTTTTTTTCGCTTGTGCTCCCCATTCCTGGTCGCTGTCGAGGTCAAATCACTTGACAAAACTATACGCCTTCTATATGAATAATTGCCAATTCAGCAAGGCATCATGGAGTGTCTGTTCTGGATTACACGAGGAGCGAAAGTGAGCCAAATGCCTTCAGGGGAAAGAGAAGATAATTGATACAAAAATGGAATGACTCGATGTATATTTTGGGGTTAGCGGTGAGATGTCTGAGTGAATTACGTTCTGCTTACTGAGATGTCGATCTTTCTGCTGACGGTCAATGATTTTGGTGTGGGGGAGAATGGTCGTAATCACAGTAAAAGAGGAGGGTCTGGAGACAAATCTTAAAGGAGGGAAGAGGGAAGTTGATGGGATTCCAGGATGGAGTTCCAGAGAATGGGGCAGGTGTGCTGAAATCCCGACTGCCGATGGTGGGGCAGGGAAGGTGAATACAATATTTATTCTATTTTAATAAATTACTTAACACAGACTCTGCATGTATTCAATCTCTTTCCAGCTCCTGTGGAACTACAAGCTGAACCTGACTACAGACCCTAAATTTGAGGCTGCCGCTGGAGAGGTTTGCAAAAGCACGCTTAGCGAGGTGAGTGAATTCTCCGTGAATTTACAGAATGCAAACATCTACTTCACCAAGTACAATAGAGCCGGAGCTGTAATGTTATTCCTGTGGATGAGATGCATTTTCTATACTACCAGGTTTCTCTGAAAAAACTAACCTGACAATAAACCTGTGCTATTGATTCACTGACACTCCCAACCCCTAACCTTTTGTCCATTCATTTCTGATATGTGTTATAGGTTTTCAGGATTTCATAAGGCAAAAGGAGTACTCTCGGAGTGCTATAAATGTCAGAACAGCGATATTCTGGCTGCATTTTCATCCTTCCAGAATTTACTCCTGACCTCATTTTGCTACATAAGGTTAATGGGGCAATGTTATCAGTTTAATTTTTAGAAATGTCCACACTCACATTCTGTTCAGCAAAGTAAGATGGTCAGGACTTCAGTAAGAGTTCATATTACTGCTATCAGGATAGACAGGATAGGTTAGGCCTTTTTCACTAGAAGAGAGACATTTAAAAGAGGGCCTAATAGAGGTGTTCAATAATAATGAAAGGATTTGATAAGGTTATCATAAATAGGCTGTTCCCCATTGTTCAAGGATTAGTAGGGGACACAAGACAATGACTTCTAAAAGATAATTCAGCAGAAATTTCTTTACGTAGAGGGTCATGAATGAAGCATGGTTGAAACAGATAGTTTAGATGCACTTAAGAGCAAGCCAAATGTACACATGAGGGATTAGAAGGGTTTAGGAGGGAGTATGTGTACTTATGTAAAATATAAACACTTGCATAAAAAGATTGGCCTGATTACCCTATTCCTGTGAGATTTACATGGATAGAGTTTCCTCAACACTATAGATGGAGGATTTTAGAAGAGGGATACGGGTGCATGTTTAGTGCAAAATGCCTTAGGTCCCGGAAGGGTTAAATAGACTCTACCTGTTTGAAGTAAAGTAGTCACCAAGATTTGTTGCTGCACTTACATCAGTTTAATGGTAATGATCTGTGCAAATACCTACCACACCACAGTTATCGATGAGGCTCATTTTTTGGTGTTTATGCACAGATATAGTTTCAAGAAAAGCATGAAAGCTGGTCAAAAGATGTTACTTAGAAACTTTTTTAGAAATAACCTTGAAATTGGGTGTGTTTTACTTTTGAAAATGATCCCTTTCAAGGAAAGATCATATTCAGTCTCCGACTTTTTATTTAAGCGCTGTCCTGCTATGACTCTTTCATCATTTAAACAGAGCCTGCCATATTTCACAGATTCTTAATGTCTGTAAAAACACAGCTCTAGTTATAAATATCCATACTCTTAATCTTCAAAAAGTGAGTGGCCATCCATTGTACAGCAGTGCACTCAGCTTCTTGACCTTGCTTAATCTGGTTTAAAATCAAATTCTGTTGTGTGTACTTTCCACAAAGCCCTTGATGTAATTTAGTGGTTCCTTGGCCTGATGCAATGAGAGTGCCAATGTGTTTCCCCACCCATCTGGATCTCTGAAATTCTGGTATTGGTTATACTAGCGCAGTACTTCTTGCACATCAGCGTTCACACAGGACACAGTCAGTCTCAGGGACAGGTTCTTGCCTGTTGGCAGGGTAAAAATATTCTCTGATTGGCAGAGGGTGCTGTTGATTGGTGTGGGAGGGTGGGTTCTTGTTTCTGGTGCGCGGCAGGGGTTGGGTTCTTTTTTCATCTCTCTGTTGACGGGTACATTATGCAGCAGTTCCTTCTTCTTCAGCACATTGCCCATTTGTGGAACCTCCGTGTGACTGATTCTAATGAATTTGGCAAAGAGATGAAGTTTATACAGTGAGTCCTCACGGTTTCTCCATCTTGCTTTATATGTTGCGCGCGAACACCACATTAGATGGAGAAATTTTAGAACAGGGATGCAGGTCCATGTTTAGTGCAAAATGTCTTTGGTGTCAAAGGGGTTAAAACAGAATTGATCTATTTCAATTAAAGTTGTTGTCAAACCTCTGGATGATATTATATGGCTCGAAGGAAATGGAATTGCAAAAGTTATGAATAGTGTCACATTTTAAGTGCTTTAGAACATCCTCTTGATGTGTAAAGCGCTGTATAAATGTTAATTTGTATTCTAACATTTGCGCATGCATAAAACCTATTAATTCCTCCTTTCCCTTGTCCAGATGAAAGAGTGTGCCGAGCAGGAGCGAGGGAAAGGCTACATAATTTCTTGTTTGGTCGATCACCCGCAAACATTCGAATACCAGTGCCGGCAGTTTGTTACCAAAATGACGGCCATCATATTCAGCGACTACAAACTTATCTGTGGCTTCATGGACGCCTGCCGGAACGACATCAACACCTTCAAGTGCGGCAGCATTCGGCCTGGTGACAAGGTACAGCTCTACCTGCTTGGTTAGAAATGCCCCTCATTTGTATTTTCCCTGGATTGGTGCTGATTTCCTGCAGGTAGTTAACACTGCAGGCTTCTGACAATCATAAATTGGAACAGGAATTTGAAAAGGAAACATTTGCAGTGGCATGGGACAAGAATAGGGGAGTGGGACTGATTGGGTAGCTCTTCCAAAGAGACAGCACAGGTACAATGGGCCGAATGACCTCCTTCTGTGCTGTAATATTCTAATATATTGTGGTTAAAACATTAGATAATTTTAAAACATTAGATAATAAGTGCGGGTTGTCAGACAGCTGTTGACTAGGTTGCTTCCTTTCCAAAGTATATGGGAAGTGAAGGTGGTGACCCACAAATTGGACATTAGCGTCAGGAAGTGGCTGGTACCTGCATTGAGTCACCTTATCACGGGTTTTATCCCTGTAATAGTATGAGAATAGCTAAAACTGCAATTGGTTTTAATTGCTTGGTGTAATGTCTAATCTAATTCCTACTGTACTCCAGCAAGGAAAGAGTGGCAGACTTTCCAATAATACTTTGCCCTTTGACTTTAATTATCAGGTTGGCACAAAGTAAATTATCCCTTATAGGCATAACTCCGATTTAAATGGTTTGACAGCTCAGTGAAGTCTGAAAACAAATGGATCACTATCAGCTTCTCGGTTCATTTCAAAATCTTGTTCTGAGCTATATTTTAATATGCTCCACTTTTTGTCTTCTCTCGCTTTTCTTCCCCTCCCCCTTTCCCAACACAAAAGTAAACTTCCGTGACCCAATCCGAGTCTGAGCACCCAGCAGCTCGCGTCTCTGTAAACAATAGTGATTGGTATGGTAGAAATCGCTGACTGGGGTGCCTTGTCTTTCCGCAACCCTCCTCCCAGGCACTATATCAAATGCAAGGATTCTTATTATAATAATAAAATGATAATAATAATCCTTGCATTTGATATAGCGCTCTTCATGTTTTCCAGATATCTCAAAGCGCTTCACAGAATATACTGTAAAAAGTGAATTGACTGTATACTTGTGGGCTAAATGCGGCAGCCAATTGCACACAGTAGTGTCCCACAAACAGTCGTGGATTCAAGTGATCAATTTATTATTGATTTTCTTGAGTGATTATTATCAGGTGTGTGGAGTAAGGAAACTTGCCCAAGGTTGCGCCCAGCCAGGATTCTCTCGAAATGGAAGTGTTTTGGGCATTTATTACTTGTGTGTTAATCGTGAGCATGATTGCTGTGCGGCAGTAACCCTGAAAAGACTTGAACTTGTTTATGTAAAAATTTAGTGGAGCAGAGCCACCTTTTTGCTGCCTTTCATAATATTTGTTTCTCATTTGTTTGGCCAGATTGAAGTTACTGGAACTGTTCTTGGATGCACTGGTAGTTGAGATCCTCATTGCTTGTGTGCCGTTGAAAAACAAAATGGAAATAATAGAATATTCCAGCACAGAAGGAGTGTCTGCTGGATGATGCTAGCATGCATACTTTTAAAACGAGGTGACCTTCAAATGTGCATCTTTGAGTGGTAGGAATTAGTTGTCCACACTGATCAATTGAGAAGCTTGTGCCATTCTTCCCATAGGTGACCTTTCACTTGTTAGATATGTTAGAATTTTGTTCCGGCTACAGGTTCAGCTCCTTTTTTTCCATAGGGTTTTGGGTTGTTTCATCTTACGGGAAACCCAATCTTTTTACCATTTCCCAATCTTTCTTTCACATTTCTCAGTAATTTAGCGGTAGGCTATTATCTGGGTTGAATGATTTGAGATGTTTTGATGCTATTTGCTTTGGCAAGTTCAGTTTTATCCATTGGTGCTTCAATTAATTTTCTGGTTAATTAATCTCTGCATCAGAAATGATGTGGCTTCAAGAATTTGCAATAAGTGTCCTCCAGCTTTCCCAGTGACAGATGAACAGTGCACATTTGTTTCTTGCTACTCAGTATTTTCAAGAGGTGAAAATTCTCAGAAGCATGACTAACCTTCCAAACAAATAAGATTTTTTTATTCAGTTAGTCAATACTGCATTCCTGTCACATAAGGACCTGACCTTGATGCTGACACGTGTGAAAGCTATTGGAAGATGTGAGTTTATTGGACTGGCTGGTTTTCACAGAACCGTTCATTTTGAATTTCCAAGTGTTTAGCCCATTTTTACGATGCTTCATACCTTTACAGTAACAGTCTCTTCCAACTCTCGACTGCCGTGTCTTGACGTACTGTACAA